CCATACCCTGGCCAGCGGCATGTCCCCGTATAGCAAATATATGGGAGAACATCATGATATTCTCATGGACGCTAAACTGATGTCAACGAGATTCTTGATCTTATTATATTTCAGGAGCAATTAGTTACAGAAGGTGTACTGACAGAGTTATGTTTCTTTCTATCTAAAATTATTATTCAATAGGATTTTGACTATTGTGTTATATATTGAGTGATTAAAATTTAATTCGTCACCCTGAGTAGAAACAAATGATCTATAGGGAACTTTTTAATTTAATTTTGATTTTATCACACTACACTCAAAATTATGTTTGTTGATACCAGTCGATTAGAAATCAAGTCATGTTCAGAATTAAAATATAACTTGCGAGGTGGGGGCTGGGGGAGGGGGGGATGAAAAAAAAATCGTTTACAAATCCCTCAAAATGCTAGTGGAAATCGCATTACTCAAGAACTCAATTCAAATTTTTTCTGAGAACCATGTCTTGTTCCCAAACTCACTAGTTGCGTTCCTCTAATTAAGGCGGTCCATGTATGGATACGAGAGGAATTTCCACGGCCCCCATTTCATAAAGTGTTGGATCGCCACCACCTGCCATAGTAGTGATGACACATTAAGCAAATATCGTCTCAAATAATAAAGGCGCAGAAAAAAATATTAGCAATTTGAGTGAAAATCATGTTATGTTTTGGTCTAAAATGCGTTGTTTGGTCTTACTGATCKGAGTTAAAACTATGCGAGCAAAGCAGAGATTGTATTGGTACAATAAGTTTATACTTTGGTTCTTTGCAGTTTATTTATATTTTTGTCCAGTAGTCAACAAATAAAATCTTGAGTCTAGTCTTATAAATCCAAAAGTAATTAAAAACTTTCTCTTGTTAATACTCACACCATAAAGGAAAATGATTGGATTAAGTTCCTATTCATTGATAATAAGTCCGAATGAAATGAAATCCAGAATCTTGTTAATCTTCTATTCTGACAGGGTGTTTATGATAAAGAATGATGTCGAGTATGCGTTGCATTTAGAAGTTTAATGCAGAGTTTAATAAATAATTATAGTCGACATAACTAAGGTGTGCTTATCTATTTTCATCAAGTAGCAATGTACTGAAGTCTACTTTTGAACATTGAGGTAAAGCTTTAGTCTAGCAGTTTTCATGTTAAAAAAAAATGTATTGTTATAACAAACAGTTGATCTGKTTGACAAGGACTTTGTAACAACACAGTATAATTATCAGATTGTACAGCAGGCAATGGTAAATCAGACGAATGCAAAATCTCTTCATCTTGAAACATTCATTTCATTTAAACTGTTAAAGAATCCCAACCAACCACGTACAGCGCGACTAAATTGGCGCCTCGCAAAGTGCAGCGGTTGCTTGTGATTCTTTAAAGTGCTACTTGCATGAAAATGGTCTTATTTCAAAACTTCAAGCAATACAAATATATGACTCATTTATATCTATTAAAATAAATTGCGGGAAAATATTTGTTTTGGAATTATCCCACGTCAGAGAAATTTTTTCTTTTTTCAAAAGATGGAAGAACAAAAGGATGGAGTAAATGACGTCATCTACCCACATTTTTTGCCCAAATTATTAAGGATTTGTATCAATATCTTAAATCTGTTGCTTCATGATTATTACACCCATATGGATAGGTCTATTTGATTTCCAATTCTTTTCTAATGTTTCGCAATTTTCGTCCAAGTAGCCCTTTAAATATGGGGCTAAGGACTACTGGTGACTAATAGGTAGTAGCTGACCTTATTTTGTTTCTCGTTTTTTTTTTCATTTTAATATCACGTTGAATTGAAATTTCACACACTTCTTAGCACTTCTTGATTAATGTTCGAAAAAAAGTCAACTGGAATGGATTACATAAATACATGTGAATAATAATAAATTTAATATAAATCTAAAAGGTGCTCAAACAACAAAATTTACACATTTTTCCCTGGAAGATTTAATTCAAAGGATCTCATGTAAACAGGGTCTGAGACCCGGTTTACATGAGATAGGGTGTCCCTACGTGGTAGGGATAACTCTTTTGTTTTCTTTTCCTTGGAGGATTTAAAACAAAGGATTTTGGCCCTACCACTAGGGGCACCCTATCTCATGTAAACAGGGTCTAAGTCTCAATTCGCGGAAAATGCAAATTTTCAAGGCTATGTGATATTTAAAAAACGAGTAGGAGTGTTTTATCGTGATAAAACATATATTAATATGTCCACGATAAAACACGAACTACGAGTTTTTTAAATGACTTCTAAAACCCAAACCTAAGAAACTACAATAAACATGAATAAAATAAAAAAATATCAAAAATGAATAATTGATGAGATATCTCCATCTGAGCATGAGCAGTAATCAACTTGGTTTCCCACATCCAAGCGCCACTATGTTTTAGTCTACTGTGACTCTGCAAATAAGTAATTTTAACTCGAGACCTAGTGAAGTTCTATGATGAGAGTCTAAAACTGAGAACTTTTCTAGTGTTGGGCACACATCGTGTCTGTAAATCAGTTACAACACTGATGTTTTATGCATGAGTGTTATAACTAACTGAACCGGTTATAGTTATAAAACTCATGTTTAATTAATCAGTGTTTATAACTTGAGTTATAGATCCTGTCATGTCTAATGAATAATTCATGAGTTTTAGAATGTATTTATACAACATTTTTTCTTGCTCTCTTTGTGTCTAGTAAGGTCTTCGCGCAAGAGAATCTGCTGTCAAATAAAAAAGCGGGTTTCCGCATTGAATTCGAAAACGGAGTGTTAGTTCACCGGTTAGTGTAACCAATGAAATACTCAAAATATTTGTATCCACATATATTATAAAACACACTTGGCATTGAAATTCCAGCAATGACGATACTGTTGTAATATTGTCGATGTTGGAGCAGTGCTCTTAAATTGATATACACCGGCCAGAGACCGACCAGAAGTCGTCGATCATCGAATCTGATCATCAGCAGATTTCCAAAAAAAGTGCCAAGTAATTTTATGACACTTTAAGTATTCTTTAATAACGAGCAGGAGTGTTTTATTGGCTTCAACACCTGATCATGCGCAAAACACTTCACCATTCTTGTCTTCCCACATTGAATACGCATAAAGTAAAATAGAAGGCCTGGTGACTGTTTCGTGCAAACGGTTAACATCCTGTATTGGTCAATTATAAGGTGTCAAACCTGAGACCAACGAGTAAAAATGGTACTGATTTATATATACTTGGGAAAAAAAATTCCACTTGCATGGAAACTTTTTGAAGGGTTTCAGGCAATAAATTCAACTGATCTGTTCATTAGAACGTTTCTGCCAACCTGATATCACAGTCAATGATCAATCAAAACAAAAGTTTTCCTATCACAAAAAATGCAATAATTTGCAAAAATTCTGAACACTTAAACATATCATTATTTATAAGATGCATCGGCATCGGTTCGCTCTTTTCTGCGCTAAAATGGAGCGTAATTCACTCATCAACTTTGAAATCATTTTTTTAAACGTTGATCATCGCATAATCTGTAGTTTTATGACAAATTAAGTTTAGATTTAATAAGGTACCACGTATTTGACAATCGAGAATTCAAAATTGAGACGCGCTGCCATGATGTAAACACGTTCAGCACAGCTTCCGTCATGAGAAGATGCATTTACCAAACCGATCATCTGAACAGAAACATGACAACTTCCTTCACTATATAGATCGCACAATTCAGTTGACATATGAACATCAGCTTCATTTGACTATTCCGCATCCTTGGCCAGGAAACAATGCTGCTCGTTAAAAAGGTTACGAGGGAGGCATGCGCAGTAGTATATACTGGTTTAACGAACAGAAATGAAGAAGATAGATTGAATAACCTGTTCTGACAGCATGAAATCACTATAAATAGAATCGATATATCAAATTGTACGTACCACGATTGTATTTCGGTACAATGTTTTTCAGGACTTAAATCCTGTTAATAAAAATTGAAAAAGATGATTTGCATAACAGAACCCACATTAAAAGAGATAAATTCTCTTTTTATCTAACGAGAGGTAATCAAAGCTATTGTCCACATGCATTAGTCACAGTAATCTTACGATAACTGCAATAACAATCAAGCAACGATCGAAGCAGCTACAGCGAGTTCACCAGGTTAATATGAAGCGTTCTTTATCGTTATTTTCATGTTATATACAATACCATCTGAACCGATACTACAATACTACATACCTCGTCCAACGAGACTAAACCGTTTACAAAGTAGTATCATGCACACCATTTCAAAGTGGCTAACACGATTTCTTATTGATACACTGATCTTCTATAATTTGCAGTTTGTTTCAGTTTCAACTATGGTTCTGAAAGTCAGTTTTCTTCTTCTCCTTATCGTCTGTGCTATCATTCCCCCATCATCCTCTGCGCTATCAGGCAACTTGTCCAAACGTGATGATTTGGTAAGGGACTGCCCATTATTTATTTATCAGGAAAGGGGGGGGGGGGGAAGATCCAGGCAAGATTGAAATTTAGTGGCTTAAAAACTACTCAAGAAAAGTGTGCCACGATTTGCGTGTCTTTATTCACGAATAATAAATGAATAAATTCACGTTCACGAGGGTTTGAGCCGCATTTCGTTTGCGAGACGGGTAGTAATGAACTTTTGTTGATTTCCACCTCCTGATAGATATTGCGCAGTCCCTAAATGGAGATGATAATGAGAAACACTTAAAGTATTTTATCCTGAAAAAGTGTTGATGCTTTAGGAAGCTAAGGCAAAAGTGACTTAAAATGATTTTTGATGTTTGCATGTACTATTTTACGGTTTTGTGTAGGTTCTAATTGAAATTCGCTTGATTAATCTCATTTTTATGTTCTTTTTAGATAATTAGCTGAACTTCTAAGTTTAAAAAGCCTTGCACCACTAGCGAAGACTGCATCTATGCAGGGTCCTTGACGTAATGGACCTTGGGATGTTTTGAGGAATGCCACAATGGTCTATTTCGATGTCTGCAATATCATCACCATAATACGAAATAAGTGATCGCTGAATACCGGAAAAAAACCGTAATGGAGTGCAGATTTATATATACAAATTGATTTTTCAGATCCTTTGTTTATTCGTTTACCATAGTTCTTTTTTTTAAAAAAAAATACATGTATTTGTGTACACAAATTGATATCACCTCAAAGGAAAATCTAGTCCAATTCTTACACATTGTAGTTCCGACTTTGTTCCAGTAGAACTGCCCTGAGGGTTGTAACAAGCTAATTCGTGCGTTTCACAAATGCAATCTTTTGAAGTTTTACATCTTGCTCTGTAATTGGTACACTCCTATAAAAAAAATGAGTACTAACTATTGCAATTGGAGTTGCGTGTTTTTGTTTTTGCTTTCCTGATAACGTAAAACATTAACATTCTTCTCCTATTTTGCGTTTCATTTGTGAGCAGCTCGATCCGGGGGAACTGGATTCCTCCCTAAAAACATCTTATAGGTTTATCCATCCCTACTTCTAGTGCGTGACTTCAATAAACTTTAAAATTTAATCAAACACCAACCTTACGTAGTAAACCATCTAAACTACGAAATTTAACCTGCCAAAGTCTCCATAAATTGCTCTGAAATGAAAGAATCAGATCTTGAACTGTATGTGTGAAAGGTCTGGTAACGACTTTCATAATGACTTCGTTCAGTGTTAAAATGACCGTCGTAGAATTCCAACAAGAGAGAGAAATCATTGTGCATTGTTTGCGCAAGAATATATTCTTAAAAATATCTACAATGAATTCTTCAGAGAAAATTGTCCAAAATAAGACAATAGTAAATTAAATGTTTACTTACTGTTTTGGCTGGAGCGCATGTTATTTCATAAACTATGGCACAAGCGATACCGAAGAAGAGAAGATGGAAACTTGATCTTAGAGCCATGATTGGAACGGGTAAGATTTAGTACAGTCACACGGGTCAAAACTTGATGGGTGGTTCGTTTCACGTGTGCGATAATTTTGTGAAAATTACATTGTTAAAACTTTTATTTTTTCCAAAGATTTTCGGAGTCACAGATTGAAAAGCCCCGTCTGAATAGGACTAAAGTAGATAAAGGATCTTTTGAGCTAACGAAGAGAAATCAAAGCTATTGTCCATAATTCACACGAATAGTGTTACAGCAAACGCTTACGTGAAAAGCACACAGAAACAACCACTAAATAAACTTTTTCTATATTTTCTATGTTTTTCTACGCTAAGGTAATATTCAGCATTGATCTGTATTATTTTCATGTGTATTTTCGTTCACTGAGACTGAGTGTCGCAACGTCATTTAAATTCTGTTAAAGTTGAAAAAGATCATTTGCATAACAGAATCCACATTAAAAGAGATAGAGTCTCTTTTCATCTAGCGAGGGGTAATCAAATCTATTGTCCACATTTCACAGTGATCTTCCGACAGCTACAATAGCAATCAATCAAAGAAAGAGCTCATCAAGTTTACCAGGTTATTTTCACGTTACATACAACACACCATCTGAACCGTTAAAAAATATTATCAAACACCATTTCAAAGTGGGTAAAACGCTTTCTTATTGATACACTGATCTTCTATCATTTGCAGTTTGTTTCAGTTTCAACTATGGTTCTGAAAGTCAGTTTTCTTCTCCTTATCGCCTGTGCTATCATTCCCCCATCATCATCTGCGCCATCAGGCGACTTGTCCAAACGTGATTTGGTAAGTAAGTTCGAGATGATACTGAATTGCGAATATATTTTATTGTGCTGATGCTTTGGAAAACTAAGAACATATTAATTAGTAAAACCAAGAAAACAAAACAGAACAAAACAAAACAATGTACTGATTTATTCATCGATTTTATGTTTGTATGCTAAAAATATTCCTACGAGTTTGCATAGTTTCTAATTGAAATTCGCTAATATATCTTATTCTTCTGTTCTTTTTAGATGATACCGCAGATTAGCTGCACTTCTAATTTTCATCCTTGCACCACCAGCGAAGAGTGCATCTGTGCTGTTGCTACCTTGGAGTGTTTAGAGGTTGGACACGATGGTGCCCGTAGATGTCTGCTATCTCATCACAATAATCAGCATTAATTAAAGTGATTGTTGATTGAAACTTCACATTAAAGACGTTAAAGTCTCTTCAGCCAATGAAGTCAGAGTAATCAAAGCTATAGTCCATAGATCATCATACAGACTGACTCCCAGTCCCCCGCCAACAATAATGTTAATCAGAAGTACATAACCAGAAGTGTCCATCTAGCTAGTAATGATCAGATCGCTCGATAATCTAATTTAGCCAACCAATCACAACACGCGC